GGCAGGCATTCTACCAACTGAGCTGCATCCTTGGCTCCTTAATGTCAATTTTTAAAAAACGCTTTCAAAAAAAATTGAAGAAGGGCTGGGGATGTGGCTCAAGCGGTATCGCGCTCGCCTGGCATGCGTGCAGCCTAGGTTCGATCCTCAGCACCACATACAAATAAAGATGTTGTGTCCACCGATAACCAAAAAATAAATATTAAAATTCTCTCTCTCTCTCTCTCTCTCTCTCTCTCTCTCTCTCTCTCTCTCTCTCTCTCTCTTTAAAAAAAAATGAAGAAGCAGGAACACTTTAAAACTTATTCTATGGGGCCAGGATTACCCTTATACCAAAGCTAAACCAAGACACCAAAAGGGGGAAAAAAGCCCTACAGGCCAATATTCATGATGAGCATAGACACAAAAACCTTCAACAAAATACCAGTAAACCAAATTCAACAATACATTAAAGAGTTCATACACCATGACCAAATGGGATTTATCCCTGGAAAGCAAGCATGTTTCAATATATGAAAAGTCACTCTGATATGTCCATATATGCAAAAAAGCATCTGATAAAATTCAACATTCTTTTATGATACACACTCTCAACAAACTAATAAGAAAGGGAAATTGCCTCAACACAATAAAGATCATAATTGAAAAGCCCACAGCTGATATCATATTCAATGGTAAAAACTAAAATTGTTTCCTCTAAGATAAGGAAGAAGGAAAGAATGTCCACTCTACTTCTATTCAATGTAGTACTGAAATAGACAAAAAAAAAAACTTCTAAAAAGAGTAAATAAAATTATCTCTTTCTTCAGATGATATGATCTAATATATAGAAAACCCTAAGGACTGAACCAAAAATCTATAGGAACTAATAAAAGTTTCATACTACAAAATCAGCATATAAAAGTCAGTTTTTTGGGGGGTGGTACCACGAATTAAAATCAGGGGCACTCAACCACTGAACCACATCCCCAGCCCTACTTTGTATTTTATTTAGAGACAGGGTCTCACTGTGTTGCTTAGCTCCTCCCCATTGCTGAGGCTGATTTTGAACTTGTGATCCTCCTGCCTCAGCCTTCTGTGCCACTGGAATTATAGGCATGGGTCACCACACCCGGCAAAAGTCAGTTTCATATCCATATGCTGACAATGAATAATATGAAAAGGAAATAAAGAAAGCGATTCAATTTAATAACATCAAAAGGATAAAATCCTTAGGAATATTTTGACCAAGAGGGTGACAGTTCTGTGCACTGAGAACTGCAAAGACATTGATTAAAAAAACCTAAAGTACAAACAAATACAAGGAAAGACATCCTTCGATTTATTTGTTTTGGAATGGAAGATTTAATATTGTTAAAATGTCTATACTACCAAAACCAATCTACATATTCAATGCAATTTCCATCAAAATCCTAATGTTTTACAGAAAAATTAAACCTTCCAATTCATGTGACCATAAAAGACATTGAATAGTCAAAAGATTCTTGAGAAAGAAAAACAAACCCAGATTTATCATCCTTTTTTATTTCAAAATATATTACAAAACTATAATAATCAAAACAGTATGGTATTGTCATAAAGACAATAAGGCCAATGGAACATGGTAGAGAGCCTAGAAATATATTCACCCACATGCAGTCAATGGATCTTCAACCAGGGTGCCAAGAATACTCAATGTGGAAAAGATAGTTTCTTTAAGAAATAACATTGGGAACACTAGGTATCCATATTCAAAAAATGAAATTGGGCCCTTATCTTACATCAAACACAACAATCAACTCAAAATGAATTAAAGATTTAAATGTAAGACCTGAACTGTAAAATATCTAGAAGACCAGGGAAAATGCTTTATGATGTTGGTATTTAGCAATGATTTGTTGGATTACGACACATATGCACAAGCAACAAAAAATAAAAATAGATAACAAGATGACATATAACTGAAAACCTTCTTCACAGAGAAGAAAACACTCAACAAAGAGACAGAATTCAAAATGGAAGAAAAGATTTGCTAAAAATGTATCTGCTAAGATGTTAATGTATCAAATATATAAGGAACTGACACAAGAGAAAAAACCCCAAGAATGAAATTAAAAATAGACAAAGAATTCAACCAATATTTCTGCAAAGAAGACATGCAAAGTGCCAACAATTATATGTAAAATGTGCTCAGTATCCTTGGGAAAATTCAAATCAAAACCTCATTGAGATATCACTTTATACCTGTTAGGATGGCTATTATTAAAAAACAAGTTAACAAGTGTTGGCAAAGATGTGGAGAAGTTGGAACCCTTCTACACTGTTGGTGGAATTTACATGGTGCAACTGCTATGGAAAACAGTATGGAGATTCCTCAAAAAAAATCTAAGAACTACCATATGATCTGTCAATCCCACTTATAGGTATGCATTCAAAAGAATTGAAACCAGGACCCTGAAAAGGTATTTATACTTTTATGGTCTTTGCAGAATTATTCACAATATCCAAGATTTGGCTATAACATAAATAGCTATTATCAGATAAATAGATAAAGAAAATATTGCCAAGCAATACTATTCAGTCTTACAAAATAAGGAATTCCTGGTTCACCTCTCTGCACTATGTTGGGTGGCCTCCTAAAGGTGCTGTGCAGACTCCTATGTCGAGCTGAGCCAGGACCAGGACCAGCACTTCTGGGGTGACAATGAAGAACAAGAACAATTACTAAATAAAAGCTAAACATTGAAAAATTTTCTTTTTACATAATTAAAGAACAAATTTATGAACCCTTCAGCAAAAGGGGTGACATAAAGAAAATCACGATAGTCAGGATAATATTAAAAAAACAGCATGAGGATTCTATTTTGTGCAATACTATTCAAGCACAGATGCAGAAAATGACATGCAATATGTAAATGGATGACTAAATCATTCACAATGACTAGGATACAGGCTTTAAGAAAATCAGGCAGTATAGACATGAGCATCTTGGGGGCCAATACAAGATGAGTATTAACAGGACCATGATGCTGACAGAGGAGACTATGGAAAACTGGCATAAAACCAGTGAGTAGTCAGAGCCCTGTTGTGAAAATTCACTCCTTATGTCTGTTGAATTTGTTGAAGAACATTAACCAAAGTCTGCAAACCAAGCCATTTTTACTAAACTTTGTTCAATGTCTCTTCTGAGCTGGAAGCCACTTTATGGTTTTCTTCTGGAAATTACTGAAGGACAGAATCCAAGAATGCCTTTAATTTTATTCTTAGAATCTTGGCCATGTGTCAGTTTACCAAAATGATAGCCAGGTCAAAAATTGTATTCCTCCACAACAACTTGATGTATAGTGTTGACTGAGCTGTTAGCCACAAATACCATCCTTCTTTCAGGAAGATTGGAAAGAATGTGAAAATTTGTTTTACCATGTTTGATTCTAAGTGGGTTAATGATCTACATTGGGACCTGGAATGATTTTTTTTGTTGTTTGTATGAGACAAGGTTTAATAAGTTGAATTTTGCTATGTTATATAGATTAGCTCTAAATTAGGGACAGGTGTTCAACAACTGAGTTTGTTTTCTATGTTGAATTCTAATCTCTAAAGGCAAACTTAGAGATCAAGGAACCTTCCTAAATAGTTTGTACAAGAGCTTGAGACAGTTCCAGGGCACACTACTTGCTTCCATGTTTTATATATTATGAATTGGGTGCAGGACTTGAGTATTTCCTAAACAAATTTTTGTGTTTTACCTAAAGATTAAAAAAGCAAGGGGTTTGTGATATGGAGAACATCAAATACTCTAATAGATAAGGGAAGACACAATCAGTAAGAAATGGGATGAAATATCAGGGAACATGAGTTATAATATTCCCCTCACATGTTGAAGGTTCCTGTTTGGTCAATCATATTTTTTTTTCTTTTTCAGAGTAAAATTGGGAACAGAGAGGATTTTTTAAAAAGAGCTTGAAGATTTTTTAAAAAGAGCTTGAAGTGAGACTGCTTAGCAAAAACAAACATAAAAGCTTCCTTCAGGAAATGTCTATTTCAGTCAATTCTCGCATTTAAGTTTTTTCCAAGTTATGTTTATTGAGGTTCCAGCCTTAATAGAGGGGAGTGTAGGGAAGTTATTTGCATTTGTAAAGCAAGAGACGATTTTTTAACATTATATGTTATCTGTTGCCCATTTAAAGCTACTAGTCTAATATAATTTTCACTGATATGAATAAATGTGATTGTCCATCTAGAAACAAAGTATCTTCTGGCTTCTAGCACCTCATTGTGAACATATTTCATGCTGCAGTAAATGTGAGTTTTCCCATTAAATTCCAAACTGGTTATTTGGATTTTTAAAAGAGATGTAACTAGTTTTCAGTGCCTAAGAAGGAAGTATTTGCAAATATTTGATATAATAAAGATACCATGTTAATTTTTAAATTTCTTTTTCACTGTGTTTTGAACTGATATATTTTATATTCTTTTGCAGTAAAATATAACTCAGATCTACTGGCCTTAAAACCAAGGACAATGATTCTAATTTGAATTCTGTCTTTTGTAACAGGTTTCAATAAAGTTGGACCAACATATAAAAATAAATAAATAAATAAGGAAATTCTGCCACATGTGACAGTATAGAAAAACCTGGAGGACAACATGGAAAATTCTGGAAGAGTGTTATTCTATCCCTCTCAAATAATATATAAGGATATATCTAAAGTTCCACATACACGTGAATTTATACGCACATGCATTCATGCACACACACACACACACACACACACACACAACATGGAGCTAGATCCAAATCATAATAGTTTTTTTTCTTAAGGTTGCTGCTTTTCTTTTTGTTTTCTTGTGTTTTCTTCCTTTTTTAAACTTATTTTTATGCACTGATTTAATACACAATATCCAGTATTTGTGAAATGAAAATGCAAACAAAAATTTTAAATGAATTAGCTTACTGTATTGAATTAATATAACAAATGTCACAATATTCAAAATATTTGCATTGTAGTCTGATTTCTTAGAAGACTGTCCCATGGTATTATTATGATTAAAATTGCCTTGTGCAAATATTACATTTTGGGTATAATGAAACATCAAGTGTTTATGTCCAGTAGCTAGTTGGATATATGAGTCTAGTTTCTCTGAGTCCTCTAGAGGATGCCCATCAAATGTCTCTGCCATGTCCTGGACCATATGAACATGATGAAAGTATTTTATGATGTTTGCTTGATGATTGAGAAGAGTTTGAAATTGGTCAAGTTCATGAATCCTGTAAATTTTGGCTACTTATGGTTTTCTTCATATTTTGTTATAAACATTGCCCTATTCCTTATTCCTTCTTTATGATTAAGAAACTAATCTCTCTGTGTTACTGTTTAGGGATCTTGGGTTCATTGTCTCTGCTCAGCAAAGAATTGAAGAACAGGACACAAAGAATAGCAAGCTAAAGGATTTATTGCAAGAGCAAAAGAAACAAAGTAACAGACTTCTCTTAAGTGAAGGGGCCCAGGAGTTGGGAGTTCCATAAGGAAGTACTGACTTGTTCTTTGGATATTCCTCCCATTCCTTTTTTTAAAATCTTCTCTCCTTTCCATTCTCCTATCATTGATACTCCTGATGTCCATGCATCTATCTTAGTCTTTTTATTGGATCTCGTACTTGTGTACACAAGCACAGAAATGTCTGCCTGATTGGATTCCTTGCTCGTGTTCATGAGCACTTTTTCAACTGGCAAGTTTTCCTTACTGGAGGACCCTCTTTGTGCTCATACTGTCTGGGCCTGCCCATGACTTCCTCATTTGCCATCTTGCCCTGACTACCTATGCATTTCTGAATCTCCCTCAATCCCCCCTCAGAGGACACCCTGACTATTGTAGGGAGTTGGGATGATGACCGCTCTGGCTACTTCAAGCTGAAAAGGGGCGTAGTGAAGATTGAGTCTGAGTGTCCTCCCGAGGAGAGTTTAAGACGAAGAGGTGTCGTCAGGATAGTCCAAAGGCCCTCAGTAAAAACTGGCAGGTACATTTATGCAGGTTTCCATCTGTACAGCCATCTGCATCTTAATGGCTTTCAGCCTGGAATGGATAAGGCAAGTTAATGTATTGAGAATACAAGGTGCAAAGATTAGATTTTTAATGAAAATTAATAGGGGGCCCAATTAAGGGAAAAACAAAGTTAATGAAGGGATAGCTGTCCTGACTGTGGCTCAAATTGTATTTGGTTCAATTACCTGGTTATATCTATGAAGCCATGGTGCCTGTTTTTAAATTTTTATATTGATTTTTACTGTTTCTGTATTAATGATGTTTGTGTAACAGATTTTGTTGATTACCATACAGACTCCTCCTTCACTGGCCAATAAGTAGTCCAAAGCCAGATGATTGTCAGGATCACATTAGCAAGAGAGTCTAAGGATCCTTATAATCCTTAAAGAGCCTAGTCTGTGCTTTCTGCAAATATTTCTAGGGTATTAGTGGGATTTTTGAGAATGACTTCATGGTAACTAAATCTAGCCCATGGCACCACAAGGTCCATAGCTGCTCATTAATCCTAGTGCTCTCCTGGATCTTGACTGTGTGATATTATGTATGTTAACTCCTATCCCCTGCTGTTCAAGCATACCGGCACAAGGGCCCATAAATTGGACATTATCAATACAAGGATAGGTGATAACTTGGTTTGTAAGCTGGGGAACAGGATTACCCTCAAAGGGTAACAGGTAGTTGTTGGGGCCATATATAAATGTGTATCCTGGAGGGGCACATGCCTGTGGATGGCTGAGTGATTTAACCAAGAAGGATTTTGAGGACCCACAGAGAAGAATCTATACATGAGCTAGACAGAGCTTCAGGAGGCACAGGCAGGGTTAATGACATCATGGTGTATGGCTTTAGGTGTATGGCTGAAAGCCACCTGCCAAGTGACAGAGATCTGTCCCTAACATATAGAACAGTCATCCACATAGGGGTGCCAGTTTCTGTTTAGGTAGGTGTAAGCACTGGGGTACCAATGGGTCAAGTTAGGAGAGTAGTTATCATATAAAGGGGAATAATTTGGGAAATATTGGCTTTGAGCACTGTATTGAGTAGAACATAGTTCCCAGCAGGGACAACATGACCTGTTGGATTGATAGTATAGAGCATAAAGTACTTCCATCTTATTAGAGTGGTAAAAGCAGGGTGTAAGCTCAGCACACAGAAAACAGTATAATATCTGGAAAGATATTTATAAAGGTTTCATCTTGGTTCATTCTGAAGTAAGGGTAAGGGTTAAATTCCTAACACACACAGGCACATGACTCTAATAGATGTGTGAAGTGGGTGGCAAATCCAACAATTGGAAAGTCCATTTCCAATACTGATAGTCTGTAAAAAATTAACTAATGAATTATCTCCCCAAGGACCCAATGTAAAACCTGTACCTTGGCTGGTAAAGGAGATGGTGATTGTTATAACAACCAAGGGTTATAAGAGTAATAAGGGCTTAGCCATGTTTAAGAGAGCATAGGCAAAAGCTTCAATATGCAAAGCAAGATTATTTAAAATAAGTTAATGCCAAAGATAGCCTACATGTAGTGTTACAATCTTCTGGAGCCATTACTGCTAGTCCTATAGTAAGTAGCAAAGCCAGCGGTATTGCAACAAAGAGACGAATAACAATTATATCACTTAGCTCATTAACACAGGAAATTGAGATCTTCGTTGTCTCACAGGTGTAGTGGTCTGTAGGAATCTCCATTGTGGTGGGTGGACTCAAGAGGGGGTCTCCATTCTTTAAGATAGTTATGATGTATCTAGTAGTCTTGTCCTGCCATATAAGCTGCTAAAGGGGTGGACATGATTACAGGGTAAAATCCCTCCCAGTTTAGAGTATGTAACCACTTGTTTAAATCTGTAGTTTTTATTAGAACAAGATTTCAGAAGAGGGGGGGCCCTTGATGACCTCTCTCAAGAAGTTCTTGTCAAATTTTTGTAAGAATCTGTTGAAACTTGACCAACTGAGTTACATGAGATACTAATTGTGGGGTCTCAGAATCCAAAAGTAAATTACTGGACAAAAATGGCCTTCCATATAGGGACTCAAATGGAGTTAGACCCTGTCAGCCAGGGGTATTTTTTAGCCCTATTAGAGCCAATGGCAACAACTTAATACATGGGATCTGGGTTTCCCAGAGGAGTTTGATTAAGTGTCTCTTCAGACATTTATTAGTCTTTTTTGACTTTGTCTAAAGACTGAGATCTCCATGAGCAATGAAGGTAAGATTTTATTCCTAATGCTTGAGAGAATTTTTGCATTATTTTTGTCTTAAAGGTGGGTCCATTATCACTCTGAAGACTCTGAGGGAGACAGAATTAAGGAATAACTTTTTGAAATAAGACCTTTACAACTTATATAACCTTTTCAGATTTACAAGGAAAGGCTTTTACCCATCCAGTGAATGTATCTACCAGAACCAGTAAATATTTTAATTTGTTCCCCCAGGCATATGGTTAAAATCTAATTGTCAATCTGATGGGTCAATCAGACCCATCATCTCCAGGAGGGCAGAAATATTTATTGAAAGAATCAACCCACTGACAGATTTCACAACTCTGAATGATCTGTTGGACTGTGACTTTGAAGCCCTTTCCTGAAAACATTTTTTGGGGTATTATAATATAATACCCCAAATGTATAATAAGAGTATTATCTCTTCCCAAATGGTAGAGGTTATAGAAAGACTTTAAAATCTTTGATTGAGATGTTTGAGGAAGTTATGGGATTCCCTCAGGAGAAACCCACTATGCTCTATGATCTAACTGGTATTCTTGAGTTACAGCCTGTTGAGCCTCCTCTGCCAATTATTGAGGGTATTCAGGGGGCAAAAAGAAGTTTTCCTATAGGAACAGGGCAAATGTGGAACTCTGTAAAGTGGCAGCCTTGGCTGCTATATTCACAACCCTATTTCCTTTAACTATTGTGTCTTCCTCTTTTTGATGACCAGGGACATAAATAACTGCCACCTGAGAGGGCAGGAAAATTGCCTCTAGGAGACAAAGAATCTCCTTGACACCAACATGAGTGCCAGCAGTAGTGAATAATCCTTTCTTTTTCCAGATAGTTGCATGGGTGTGAAGTATAAGAAAAACACATTTGGAATCAGTATGTATATTGACCCTTTTATCCTTGGAATGTTCCAGTGCTTGGGTGAGAGAACTAGTTCCACCAGTTTGGCATTGGTATTGGTGGGAAGTGGCCCTGATTTAAGTACCCCCAAATCTGTTACCACCACATATCTGGATCTCCAATTCCATTAAACACCAATGAACTTCATGTAGATAGTGTAAGGTCAGGGTTATCAATAGGATGATCAGATATATCCAGTCTGATGGCATAATTTTTCATTAAAACTTCTTCACAAGAATGGAAAGGGTTTTTTCCTCTATCTCAGGTAAGAAAGATTGAGGTTTTGATAAGTTTTCAGGTAATTTTGGATTCTTCTAACAAAAAGGGCCAAATATTTAAGTATATGGCTATCTGTTGGCTATCTGTTATCCTAAGACTACATTTAGAATTTAGAATTCCTCCTATATCATGGGAGGTAAATATTGTCAGGGGCCTTCCCAGAATAAGTTTATATACCTTAGGGATTAAGAGTCCCACTGCAGCCACAGCTCTAAGACATCCAGGCCACCCCTTGGCCACCTTGTCCAATTCTTTATTTAGATAACTCACTGGATGGGGAGGGGGCCCCAAATGACTGTAACATATACTTGAAAGGTTGTTTGAGTGGGTAAAGTCAAGGTAGGTGCCTGGGTAAGAGCTGTTTTTAATGTATTGAAGGCCTTTTTAAAAAATCTCTGGAGTTGAGTTAATGATGGCATGTGAGTTTCCCTGTGCCTTTTTGAGGCACTGATAAAGGGGTCTTGCTTTCTGCACATATTCCAAATTTTATAATATTAGTTGTTCTCAGAAAGGCCATGAGTTGTTTCACTCTCTGAGTAAGGGGATATTACAGTATGGTTTGAATTCTTTTTGGGCCAAGCTTTCAATTGTCACCTTCCAGTATAACGCCCAAGTATGTAACCCAGGCAGGCACAATTGAGCATTTTCTAAGGAAATTGGCCAGGAAATTGAGAAGAGAGCTTGCCCCTTCAGAAGTCACTTTCTAAAGGTCCACATAAGAGAAGGTCATCTACATATTACAGTAACACTGTTTCAGGGTATAAAAAAATCCATGAGGTCCTGTGCCAATACTTGTCCAGACAGATGGGGGCTTCCTCTGAATTCTTGGGGAAGAACTGTCCAAATAACTGTCCAGCTTTATGGGTAGGATCCTCAAAGGGGAATAGAGACTGACTCTTTGAATGTAGAAAAATTCAGAAAAATGCATCTTTTAAGTCTAGGACAGTATAATATGTAGTTCCCTGGGGAATCTGGTTAAGGAGAGTGTATGGATTTGTAATCAGTGGGTATAGAAGGACCACTGTCTCCTTGACTAAATGAAGATGCTTAAATGTTCTCTATTTATTGGAACTCTTTGTGAGACTCCAATATAGGAGTATTATGAGGACTTTTCTACCAAAACTCCTTCTCATTTAAAATTCAACATAATAGGTATAAGTCCCTCCTTAATCTCAGAATGTAAGGAGTACTGTCTTTGGCAAGGAAAGTAGGAAGGATTTTTAAAATGAATTTTGACAAGGGTTTTAGTCTTTCTATTGAGTTGATATCTGACCAAATTGTGGGGTCCACTTTGTCTTTATTAAAGGTAGATAATTATATGCCCCAGATGGTAACAACTTGACCCTTAATTGAGATTAATAGGTCTCTTTCTAATATAGGGGTTGAGGTCTCTGGCATGATGAAAAAGGAGTGTCAGAAGTGGAAAACACCCCATTTATAAGCAAGAGAACTAGTAAAATATCTCTCAAGGGCCTAGCCCTATATGCCCCAAATGGTTACTTGTCTTGGGACTGAGGTCCTGGAGAGAAGGACAGGTCTAAGAATCGTGTTCCCATATCAGGAAGGAAGTTTATATGGTGCCTGTCTACAAAAAGTTTATCTGGGGCTCCTGAAACTGGACTTCAGTCATAGGAGCCATAAAGAAAGCCCCTGGACCTGTCATTGGGAACTGTATGTGACAACCTTGATCCCCTCAGGTTCCAAGGACATCTCACCTTCTGATGGTTCCTTGACACAGAGGACAAGATCCAGGAGGCAATCCAATAGGTGGTTGACTCCTCTGGGGACAATACTTTTTAAAACAGCCTTCTTTCCTGCATGAGAAGCAGGAGGTGGAGGAGTACTGCTGGGACCTGCTTGCATGGCTGCCATCAATTCTCCATGTTATTCGTCCTTTCTTTTTCCTTTTCTAGGTCCTGATTATAGAAGACTGCTGTAGCATCCTGGACCAACTGGTCCAATGTTGTTCCCTGTTCCACAGCCAGTTTTTGGAGCTTTATCTGTATGTCTGGAGGGAATTGGGTCATGAGTTTATCTTTAAGAATGATTTCCTTTGTCTATAACCCTGGCTCAATATTAGTATGTTTGGTAATGACCTCCCAGAGCCTCTGAATTTTTGGTTATCAGTGGCTCCTTTTTACCCTGAATCACAGTGGCCATCTGGGCATAAATGAAGGGTTTGACCTGGGCCCTTCTTAATCCTTCCATCACACATTATTAGAAGTGATGTCTGTCCCAATCATCCGTATCCGTGTCCATATTCCAATGTAGTTCTGTAAATGGGACGACTTGGTCACTGGTGGGAATATCCCAACTTCTTCCTGTCACTGTCACCTTTCCTCCCTGAGAATATAGTAATCATTTCCACTATTAATAGCCTTTTGTAGAACCCTTTATCTTTCCAGGGTAGTCAGGGTTTGGCCCAAAAGCAACATCTTTCCATGTTAAGTCATAAAGGTTTGATAGCTGTTAGAAGGTCTGAATATATTGTTCCAGGTTTTTGATGTAGCCACCTAGGTCCTCTCTTATACTTTTTAGTTCAGTGAGTGAGAAAGGAATGTGTACCATCTCAGGTAAAAATTTTCTTCCTGGCATTCGCCTAAGGGGAAACACCTGGGTAAGAAGCATTTTGGCATTTCCTGACCATGGGAAAGTTTGCCCCTGAATAAAGAGGGCATGGTTTTAAGCATACTTCCTCTGTCTTTGGTCCCCTTAGACTAGAATAAAGCCGGGAAGAGGGCTTGGGAACAGGAACCTGCTCTGTAAGTGGAGCAGGTGGGATTTCCTTTTAGTCTGATGGAGGTTTATTATCCTCAAGCAAGGGATTTTCCTTTTCTGGGGTTTTTATTTCCAGTTTAGAGCAGCATAAGACTGCCAAGGTCTGAGTGTTAAGTTTATAATCCTTTGCTAGTTTAGAGTGATCCTTTAGACAAAAGAACAATTGTGCATAAGGAACATCACTCCATTTACCCTCCTGTTTACAGAATAGATCTAACTGTTGAATGATACTATAGTTTAGAGTCCCCTCTGGTGGCCATTGTTCTCCATCTCCCAATGGGTACTAAGGCCAAGCCTCAGTGCAAAAGAAAATCAAGGATTTTCATTTTAATTGGGGATTCATCTTAACCCAGTTTTTGAGCAGACAGGAGAGAGGTGAGCCTTGTGGGATTTTGAGAGAATTGGATCCCATCTGGAAACAAAAAGAAAGATGAGGTCTTGATGGGGGTTGCCTAATCCCCATCTCACTCTTTTATAAATCCAGAATGGTGGCTCCAGCCTGCAGTCCAGTAGACTGTCTTGGCCCAAGTCTATCATGACCTGATAGGGACTAGCCAAGCTTATTCATGGCCAGTGGTCTAGGTCCCCGATATTTCTTTTTGTAACCAAGATATCTTTGGTGTCTCCATTCCTTGAATACGTGTATCTCCCAAAGTACTGCTAGCACAAAAGGATTGATGGCTGCCAGGAGGGAAAGGATTTGTAGGGAGGGCACCCTTCTAGTGAATTCTTTTGTCACCGTTTCATCTAAGGAGTCACTTGCCAGCCTAGTGTAAAGAAATTCCACCCAGGAATATGGCATTGAAACCCACCTAGTCCTTGCTTTCCAAAGTGCTGCACAAACAAAATGAAGAAGATGGCTAGCCACTATCATAGTTGCCTCTTCCTTTCCCCCTCCCCAATCTCTTTTTATTTCCCTCATGCTTTTTTGAGATAGGGGGATATGATCACTTAAATGTCTCAGAAAGGAAGGAAGTTCTTCCAGATTGGGAGTGGTCTTCTCTTCTTGCCATGGATAGTCCCCCTGACAGAAGGGACAAGGAACCAGTGGAGGACATAAACGACCTATTAGCAGCCTTACATCTGAAGATAGAGTTCTCTCCCACAAAGAGGAGAAGAAACTGTACCAGTGTTGTCTAGGACAGTGGGGTCTATTGCTCATTTTGTACCCACTCAGAAAAGCAAAATGAATCAGTCTTGGAATTCAGCCTTGATAACTGTGGCAGGGGACTTTCCCAGCCTTAGAGAATCAAAGAAGTGCCAGACGATCAACTGTCACTTTGCAGGTCTCATCAGCCGTTTAATGTGACTGCTACTGACCTTTGAGTCGGTGGTCCTGATCCCGGATGAGCCCCCGCGTTTGTTACCGTCTAGGGGTCTTGGGTTCGTTGTCTCCACTCAGCAAAGAATTGAAGAACAGGACACAAAGAATAGCAAGCTAAAAGATTTATTGCAAGAGCAAAAGAAACAAAGTAACAGACTTCCCTGAAGAGAAGGGGCCCAGGAGGAAAGGATTGACAGGAAAGGATTGACTTGTTCTTTTGATGGGCTTTGGGTTTTCCTCCCTTTTTATCTCCTCCCTTCTCCACACTCCCCTCATTGTTGCTCATTGGTACCCCTCCTGTCCACACGTTTATCTTAGTCTTTTTATTGAATGCTCACTTGTGTGCATGAGCATGGAAGTGTCGGCCTGATCAGGTCCCCCACTCAGGTCCATGAGCACTTTTATCAACTGGGAAGTTTCTATTATTGGTGGACTCTCTTTGTGCTCATACTGTCTGGGCCTGCTACTGACTTCCTCATTCTCCATCTTGCCCTGTCTGCCTATGCAGTTCTAAATTTTCCTCCTCTATGGCCTGGCAAAGAGTCTTTGGAGTATTCTTAGTCCTCCTTCATTACACATTCAACATTACCCTGAGTATCTGAATAACCTGGGTGGTATACAAAGGACTTTTAAAAACATATCTTGGTACAGAATATGCTAAGAAATAATATTGCAAAATTTTGTTGACAATTCACCAACTCTAGTTCATTTTTAATTTAGTGATATTATTTGGTATGAATTAACAAAAAAGAAATCACTAGGAATGGAAATATTATAAAGAGTGAGTTCATCAGTCTGAGTAAGTGCTTTTGAAGGTCAGTTTATCCAATGACACACAAATACTGTCATTTATAAAAAAAACTGGTATCACTATTTGGGTATAGGATATCAGAATATATTTTTCTTTGTACACACAAAGGTTTCTTATCTTTTTTTTCTTTTTATAGTTTACAAGGAGATGACACATACTAACTCTGGTGTATCCATACAATGTAGTACTTCTCATCAACAAAAGGAAAAATATACCCATATATATGACACTATGAATCTCAAAACCTTTTTGCTCGGTTAAACAAGAACACAGAGGACTATATGACACCATTTATATGAAGTCCTAGAAATATCACAAGAAATCTATACAAAAAAAAGGAAACCAGTATTTGCCTGTGAAGGAAGAGAGTGGTCACTGACTGGGAAGAGACCTGAGGAATGGTTCTGGGGGAATTATAAAGTTCTCTAAATATATAGAGTTTTGTGTTACATGTATATGTATTTGTCAAAACTAAATAACTGGGGCTGGGGTTGTGGCTCAGTGGTAGAGCACTTGCCTCGCATGTGTGAGGCACTGGGTTCGATTCTCAGCACCGAGTATAAATAAATGAATAAAATAAAGGTCCATACAACCATTAAAAACGTAAATAACTGGTATAGTTCTGATTTGCCAGTATCTTTATGTAAATTTTAACTCAAAAGAAAAAAGGAACAATAGCCAAATATTAAACTCTAAATATTCATATGATATATTATCTAGGGTTGGAAAGTAATGTTGTCTACAGCTAACCTTAAACCACATCAAAAAATGACATGAATTGTTGGACGCATAATAGACAAAGATATATAACTATATATGTATATATACACACATATGTGTAATATGTATAGATGTATGTGCAAAAATAAAAAAATTGCTAATATCATAGTATCAAAGTGATCGTTATAGAGACGTCCAGCCATGGACATGCTATGCAAGCATTCAACCACTGAGCTATATCCTCAAGCCCAAATCCTTTCTTCCTTAAAGCATGTTTTAGCAATTTTGAAGTCATCACTGTGCTAAACATTATTATAATGAAAACATTGTTCCCATGAAAGAATGTTGATTTAGGAACAATTCTATGAGATAAGAATGTCAGGGTCAGAAGATACATGAAATTGTAGGTGATGTCACATATTTTCTAGGACAACTGTATAATGAACCATAACACTTTTCAGTTTTATGAATAGGATATAGGAGGGTCAGTTTTCATAGCAATGCAAATGAATAAAATAAAAATGCATTTATTTGGGTTTCTCTTGGTTGTAACTACTGATTTATTAAATATTTCAATCTTATTTTAAACATAGATTGTTATAAATAAATATTGGCATAGGAAATATTGGGAAATGCAAGTCAACATGAGGAGAAGATAAACAATATCTTCCATCACTATTAATAATTTTTAAGATTTAACTCCTCACTTCTCACTATGCTTGAACAAAGAAATGAATATTAAAGGAACAAACATAATATCTGCCTTAGACACAAAACTGGGGGAAGAAAACACATCATTCCTGATGATGTACATGTTATGGCAGACTGGGAAATTATATCAAAATATGTTCACACACAGAGACTATAACAATCAATAAGGATAATACTTCAGAAGATAATGCAAAGAATATTTGAGAAGATCCTGCAAAGAAATGGATCTGTATCTGATAATTTATTTAATAAAAACAAAGTAGAATGGACATACTTAAGAATGATCAAATGGAAAATCTATTTCACAGCACAGGGGAAATACACCAATGTCAAAATAAAATGTTGCCCTTGCAACAGGAATGCACTGGGCTCTAAGCCAATACCTTCAGGAGAGTTGTCTGAAAAAAGGCTGAGGTGGACTGCAGGCAGGGTGGGTAAACCCCAAACAGAGTAGAGAATGGACTTTGAATTGCAATGCAGTTTATAAAACAGGATTTCTGGACCTGAACTCTCCATGACTTCTGGAATCCTCACAGCACTGTACTGATCAAAAAGAGGCCCACAGTGTTCTCTGGCTTCAGAGTCACCAGTGGGGATAGAGTCTAGAAGTTGGCACTGGGTTTTAAATTTCAGAGCATTGTACTTGTCAGGAAATGGAGGCAGCCTGTATCGTAGGATGGAAAACTCAAAAAACGTGACTGATTCAAGAGTAAAGGTGTAAAGGGGTATGTGTGGGTGCTTCTAAAGCACTCGCAGGTCAGTAATTGTAGCTAGACTAGACTCAAGGCTTCAGAATGTCAAAACAGAAATTGGAGGTAAATGGGAATCATCATTGCATCACAAAGTACTTTGAGGTCTGAAATTTGAAGCCAGAAATTGACTGTCAAAATGTATTCAATTAATGGGATTGTGTTTAGCCCTGGTGGTGTCATGTGCCTGCACATCCATTTCTTTTTGATAAGCACACATGCACACTGGAAGCTACTGACAGAAAATCATGGGGAAGGAGTTGCAATCTTTGGTGGAAAGAAAAAGAGAACCAACATCTTGAGGTGATCTTTTAGGAGAATAGTGGCTATTCCCAGAGCCCCTGATCAGATTCCACAGAGACTCAAGATGAAATTCAGAATTCCCTAAAGAATTGGTGAAAAGCAAACACATTCTGTGATCCAAGCTTGACAGTTGTTTAGTGGGAGACGTAAGCAGTAGGGCTCTGGAGTTCATTCTATTGTGCTATAGATATCCAAACTCAATTAGCTGAAATGCAAAGCCACAGGGAATATCTTTATGTAGATATGGGGTTTCCAGAGCCACCATTCAGTCTTCAGGACCCACAAATGATTGTGGAGGGTGGAGGAAGGGATGAAGATGGAATGCTTTTGGTCCCTCCTGGGTATGCTGTTGCTTCTATTTTACTCTCAGAGCTCAGCGTGACTATCAGTATTATACCTGGTGAGACTACTGGAAGGACAAGGCCACAGGGAGGTTCAGGCCCCCATTCATCCCCAGTATCTTGTGCAATAACTGCCATGTCCAAAATGCTTCATGAACTGTGTGTTGAATACACAAAGCAATGAATGAATGAGAAGGACCCTTGTGGTGTTAGATGGTAGACACCCTGTCCTGGAGTTGGATGCAGGAAACAGTTTATCGGGATTTAAGGACAAGATGGGCCACTGGTTCAAGTTCACAAGGTGCTTCAAGATCATGGAGGATCTGGACTCTCTGGGACTCAAGAGTGGACAGAATTTCCTGAATGATATTGGAGAGGGGCTCATCTGGGATTTTAATGAGACCCCTATGTCCATCCTTGAAATTCCAAGGTGCTTGATGAGGCAGTGAGAATGCACCAGAGGTCTAGGACTCTGGAAATAGTAGTGGGGTTTATGATTTTTGATTGTGACTCTGGCCAGTGGGAGGGAAGCATCCCTGCCTGTTTCTTGCATATCAAAGCAGTTTTCTGGTCAGACTTTGGGAAAGAACATGACCAGACACCTGAGGTCCTTTACCCATTTGTAATAATGGTGGCTTTGCAACCTGACTTCAGGATCCAAAGGTTATTAGGGTCAGAGAGTTAAGTCAATGAGTTCCTACCACTGGGGTTTCAATTCAAATTGCTAATTTCTAATTTGCCAAAATGATGCTTTTCCTCCCTCGCTGATTATTTTTCAAAGAGGCACAACCAGGATTTGGTCGTTTGCTTGTTTTTAATACAACAATGAAAAAGAAATGAAGAGAATAAAGACAGTGCTGTGCAAAAGCTTTGTTCAAGAAGTGATTATGTAGGAAAAATGCAAATCAACAAATTCAATGCATGAGGGTGAAAAATTCTTAGCAGATAAATTGCTTGGAAGGAATTTGAGGGATTTATCAAAAAAGCTATCAGAATCCCTCCTGCCCACAACCCCAAACTGATCCCTTCAGGGTTTCAGCCATTGCAAACTGGTCTCCATCTCTGACATTCCCCTCTGCTACACATAGAGCTCCTCCAGAGAAAAGGGAGGGGTGTGCAGACTGATGGAGTGGCCAGCAGCAATTGTAGCCTGTTACTTTTAACCTCCACACTGCTGCAGGTGAGTCATGAAATGACCTCCCTGACCAGAGCTGGCACTTGGAGTCTTCCTCGACACAGCTATTTCCCAAATTCTGAAGCTCTCTCTTGCTTGGGTAGATTTTGATAGTTACCTATGGGAAGTCCCAGGTGGTTTCTGCTCTGGAAGCCACAATGCTGCCTTACTCACCCTCAGCTGGCTACACAGAAACTGCAGTTTTGACTGATCCATTCTTGCAGAGGTTCAATTCCCATCCCCCAGGCCTGCCAGGGTGTTTCCCATCAACCAGTGTTTTACTGGCTCTGAGAATGTTAGACCTG